TTGGAAACCCAGGGTTCAAATCCCACTAACCACCAATGACCCCTTGTGACTCAGTGATCCAGTGGCTTGGAGCTTACCCAAAGTTGTAGGCTTCCCTACTTATAAATAGAATATGCGTGGTGAGCTTTATTTGTACTGAGTTTACATTTCCTTCTACTAAAAAGTTACACAATTTTATACTCATATGCATTATGATTGATTTTATAAACAAAGCGAGGTACTTGACCTGATACGTACCAGATAGCTTAACATTTTTAGGTTAACATAGGTTCTGGATTAGGAAGGTCTCTGAGGTGTGGGGAAATTCCCTGCATTATGAAATGAAAATTATCATGACCATTCACATGATACTTTGCCTACCTTGTATTCCTCATGCAAAGTACACAAAAGATACTTAACGTGGAGCGAGACTGCTTAGCATGCATTATATAAGTTTCACCCATACAGATTCATTGCTAATTAAAATTTTTTTACTACGGATAACTGCACCACATGTTGCTACGGTTTGCAATCAGACGCAAGGAGTAATTGGAGTGGTTTATGTATTTAGAAAGCCCCGGTAAGCTTCGACCTCTCGATTTGTAAGGCTAACAAGCCTGACCTTTTAATAACCTTTCAATTAAACAGATTGAGGAAATATTGGGAAATTATAAATTAATCTAACAATCCAATCAAGCATTTTGGGTTCAGAGAGAGCTAAAATTCAAGAAAGGGATAATTATTATACTGCTGATATCTCGCCGAAAATGACAGGTCTACAAATAATTGCTTGCTTTGGCTTCCAAAATTATAGTTCGAGTCGAGTAGAAACGAATTTTGTGGAGGAATGTAAACATGTTAACGAGGAAATGACCTTTGTAGGTTTATAGGTACGAGATACAATATTGAGGGTGGTGTGTGGTATGCACACTTTTACATAGATACATATACCAAAATCATAAAACGTTTATTTCAAATAACCATTTCTTTAATGTGTAACGACATTGAAGTTTGAAGTTCCAATATGACATTGGTTTTAACTTCGAATCGTCTTTAGTACGGAAAAGGTGGCCAAATCATAGATTGCACAGTTGCACCAGTCCGCCGAAATTACCGAAGCAATATATAAGTACAATAAAAATCAATGTCATTCAAAACAAGTGTCATTTCCATAAATCCTACACGTCTGAAACTATTAATCACAAATCTCTAACGCCACAAAATCACCACCTTCAAGAAGAACCAACAAGGAAACCTTTATGACCGAGAAGGAAGCCTCCGTGCCAGCTAAACACCACCTCCAGCCAAAAACATACAAGAAGGCGTGAAGGAATTTCTACGATGGAGATCATCTAAAATATTAACATTACATGAGGCGGCCTCTAGAATTTGGGCGCCGTTAGCAATCAGATGTTGCCAGTGTATCAGCTGATTGTCCGACATGATATCTACGATTAACCTCAATGGTGGCTGTAATCAAATAACCGAGTTGAGAATAGATTTGTTAGAGAGGCGCTAGTCATGGAGTTGGTCATTAGAGGTAACGGCCTGAACGCGGACCAAGATGATACGTGGACGTCCATGTCACTGGGTGAGAAATAGAGCACTCGGTCAAGTAATTACGATTTAGCCTTGGGGTTTGATGCATTAATTGGTATAAAATGCAGAATGTATTTGTTTGGTTCAGATAGTAAAAAAAACTACATATTGGGTTGAAAATACACATAAACATTTATCATGAATCTGGTCAATATGTAAGCCTGATTTATTCAATTCCATTACTCAGCTAATTGCATAAAGAGAATCTCATAAAACTTGTTTTGTTTAAAATTTACGATGGATGCGTAACAGGTATAGTATTAAATTAGGATTTAACCAAACTGATCTCCTAGGAAGTTAATGTTGCAGGTGTTCTGTTTAACTAGGGATAAGCAATAATTACAGTATTTTTAAACTACAAAGTTGTCCGAATCAGGCAGAAATATTTTAAATTTGCATATTAAGGACGTCTCAGTATATTGTGGTAAAATGAAAAAAAAAAAAAAAACAATGTTGCATTCGTCAACCAATGTATGTGTTTGTCCACAGGTTTTCTGATTTATAAACAAAGTCTGTTATCAAAATATGTTCAACTGTCTGTGCTGAGTAAGGTCAATTTTTACTGCTTTCGAACTCATTTGAAAAGAGACGGTAAAGGTAATCTACTCTTTTGTGTCGTGCATAAATAATTAGCAAAGAATTATTAACACCAACTCTTAAACTCCACATTGTATCTTTGTTCGTGAAAAAAAACGAACGTCCAAATTGTCAGTACTGAAATTGTCAGAAAAACTGGCTGTAGTACCCAACAGTATCTGTAGGTATGCGATGCTACGGCGCTACAGCGAGCACCTCTGACCCCGAAGGTTTATGTTATGGGACGCCCCAAGTTTTGGGACATCGAAACAAGCCGTGTGACAACTAACAAGAGTTTTTTCGAAACGGATGTGTTAACAAGGTCCGCCGTATACAACAGCGGGGACTCGAAACACATTGTAGATTCACATTAATCTCAGTGTCTAGAGGCATTATTATTTTCGCTTAATATGCACCAAAGGTTTTGGATGGAACTTATGTTTATTGTTTAACCATAAACTATGTACAACTATTTGCATCTAATAAATATGGTAAATTTTGTGTTTTCATTATTTTCTTTTTTTAGATTTGAATTTGTGATAAGGAATCCAAACCTCCCATAAAATACAATATGGTGTTTTACTTTATAGTTTCGATTTGTGAAAAATGTAATTCCATAGATCTTTGTAAACCATCTATTACAAAACAACTTATATCAACGTATTTTATTTGATTTTAATGGTACAACACTAGGATATTGTACTGAAATTATTAAGAATGTTGAATTTTTTCACTCTTTGTGTTATGGGTCTTATTAAAAAAAAAAAACTCTTTACACTTAAATAACTATTTGATTGAAACGATATCAACATTGCCATAGTTATTTGTTTTTTCCTACTAAGCAGTAGGATTTTGATTTATAATTGAGCTATGGGGGTTCAAAAAATGAACTCAAAGAAAGGCATTCTACCTACAAGAGATTTGGATCTCACGAGGCCTCGTATAGAAGGTTTTCATTGACGTTTAAACTGTTGTGGACATTATGCTGTTTTAAAATTTAACATACCGTATAGTAATTAGTTGAGTCTGACTACATATCTAGTCCCTACTATCAGCAGTCACGGTCTTTGTCCATTGTGAACTGACAGTTTCAGAGCAGCACATTGTATCACGTGTGAAACAGTCTTGCTATGTGTCACTGCCACTACACAAGGCAAGACAGGCCGCATACTTCCACACTATCCATCATATCATCCAGCATATATCCATACCGTGCTGGCATCTTTGGGCAAGAAGTTTCCTGCGGAGCTGAAAGAACTCAAAGAAGGCCACAAATGTTCAATTCATCTGCAGTTATCTTGCGCACATGCTACAACTGGAGTGCTTTCTGGATTGTTGAGAATCCTGGATTGTTAAAGATAAGTGTATTTCAAGTAGCATCTTGTCTTTCAGGAATGGTCACTTCGTTGAACTGGCGAATTTATCTGATGACGTTTTGAATGCGTTGCCGTAATACATCTTCGGTGTTAGCTACGATTGAACCTCAGAGGACGGTGAAGATTTAATTCAGTTCAACGAAACTTTAGCCTCCCAAAGACTAGAATTAGCTAGTGTACTCCGATCAAGGAAGCATACCTTCTGATTTTAAAGTTTGTTTAACTAAGACGGTAAATTTATTTCTTGCCTAATGAAACGTCAAGGTTTTCCTCGACGGGCCTCACAACGGGAGGTCTCTGACTTTTGTAGGCGGAATGGCTGAGTCTCGTTCACAAACATTTACTGTCAGTCCGACTTGAGCTAACAACCTTTGTCTAAACATCAGTTGGTGTGAAAACACTCGAAAGCTCTTTTATACCTCGTAAATCTGTTCACACCCGCGTACAACAAGACACTGCATACATTGCAGACAGTTCTTTGTTGTGTAACGTGATATACTGGGAGAGATTTCTTTGTGTATGTAAAATGCAAATTTAATTTTATCTGCAGTGCTCACGTGGATGTCAAATTAGCACTTATTTAGAAGTTTATGTATGTATAATTTATGCTGTGCCTTTAATTTAAATGTAGTTCATTGAGACATGAACATAAATATGATTCAGTTTGAAAACCCACGATATTATAATAATTTCTGTATATTAATTGATTAGGTCTACAATCAAAGTATGTAATAATATTGCAGCAATTGATCAACTTTCTCCTACCAACCGACGTCACTTTGATACATGCGTACAACGGTCTCAAGGTAAATTTAAATAATCTAAAATAACAATAGACACGTCTGTGGCACTTACGAAAACAAACAAACTTTCCAGGACCGGTTGTAGGCAGTAAAATATTCAAACGCAAGAAGTGGCGGGAACTGGTGACAAGTCAGATAGAAACAGTTGACATTTGGAGACGTGGGAGCTCTTCCAAAACTGAACAGCTGATTAGCGACTACACGGCAACGCTTTTACCTCTCACAATGCGACACAGCTCTCTAATATCGAAATCTCTTTCCACAAGCTGGGCATTTCGCCTTGATTTTATCTGGGCAAAATATGCTAAGCCGATTAACAATGAGTGAGTGATTAGCGGAGAGCAACGACCTGCCGTAAGTAGATCATTTGAGGTTCAGCCGACCTGAATTGGTTACCACCTTTTTGTGGGATTTTTTTACTGATCTTGCGAGTTTTCGTTGTGGGGTTCTCATTGACTATGGTTCTATAGAGATAAATACTTATTTGTATTTAGGTATTTTATTTGAACAAATTGAATTGTCGAATAAGAGCGAATCATCGTAATCAGCTCTTGACCCTAAGATGACCAATATTCCCAGAATTTAAATAGCCAATAACTTTGCAGAAAGTATTAAGAAACATTTATAACAACTTTTACAGTTGAAATTTTAGTGTAAATTTACTTACCGTGTGATAGTAGTTCGGAGATGAGTTTAGTCGTGCCTCAGGACGATTCTCCTCACTGTGAGTTCGGTCAGGACCTCGACTAGGGCTCCTCAGTACTCTGGGGGCGCCCACCTGGGGCCTACCATTCTGAGACCACGGTGAAGGAGTCAGGATTCCCCCCAGGGCCTTCCTCGGGTGTTTGTTCTGCATCCCGAGTCGTCGCTGCTGCAGTGCTGTACTCGCCGATATAGGCATCAGAGATGGCAAAGGCCTGACCCACTGGAAATCCATCATATCAGGGCTTGGAGATCCGGAGGAGTACGCGTCAAACTTCAAACTATTCAGACAATTTTCCGGCCGAGGTACAGGGGAGAGGTGGCGAGGGCTGATGACGGGCTTGTAGTCTCCGGGACTTCCCAGGTTCGAGTTATAACTACTCTCCGACCCGTAGTCCTCTCTGTATGTTTTCTGCTCGAGTTTTATTTTGTAATCAGTTTCCATAGGTTTGACGTCTGCTCCGTTCACGTCGACCTTGTATTCTGCCTTGTAGCCGTTGGGTCGGTGCAGCAGGTCTTGATGCACCTTGATGAGTGGTGGGGGAGGCTTGGCTGGCAGTTGCTGATGCAGCTGTTTGTTCGTCAGCACCGTGATCTGCAGACTCCTCGCTGCCTCTAGGAAGCTTGGCAGTCGCTCCTCGGGCACCGTCACTCCCCCCGTGTAGACAAAGTCCAGTAGTGCCCGCATGTCATCGTAGTCTATGTCGTCCAAGATTATGGTCGTGTGGTCAGAGACTGGGTGGGCCGTCAACAGCTCCTGAAACATAATGTGGACTGTTATTACAAAATACAATATTTTTCTTTTTCAAGGAACCTTGTTGTTATTGAAACAATCAGACAGATTAATAGGTAGATGATGCCATCATCTCATTGGAGTGCTTTCTGTGTCGTTAATGATACAAGTGAACAACGAAGTTTGAATGTAGCTTAAATACACACCTAAGGCCATTTCATTAGCCAGGACCACTTTTGAAAGGCCCAAAGAAAAAGGACAATTGGAACTAGTTCTCTCAATTGTGGGTTCACGATTCTCTACAACGAAGCCGCGGAATAAATGATACAATGAGATACTTCATTGGACTGGCGGCGTCTGTGAAGTGAACGGTACTTTTCATATTGACGCCCACGGTTGGCGAGTCACCAAGTCCTCAAACCAGTCCTCTGCATTCTTCAATCAACTGTATTGAAATCCAACCAAAACATATCTCAACGTCAAGGGTTTACTCGCCAGAATCTTGAGTCGCATAAACAAATAATATTGATTCAAGACATGCATCATGCGCGGAACAAATGTTAGGACGGTTATCCGACTTGGAAAAAGGATCCAAGCTATTTCAAGCACATAATAGGACCCAGTGTTGCAAACTACGTTACTTTTACTAGAGCAAGTTTTCTTACTATAGTACAATAATTTGTCGACTTTTGTTTACATCCCAGGTTTTTAAAGAATTTGACTAGAATGGTGTTTTAGGATGTAGCAAATAGCAAATGGATCATTCGACATAACTGCTAAATTTAACATTCGACTTATGTCCAGACAATTTTACTGTGTTAATCATATTTTCAATTACGAAATCTTGAAAAAGTCATGTTTCACAAACCTATTGCAAAAGGTTTTCAGCTTTGAGGTTTAATGAATCCCCTGTCCGTACATCTTAAAACGATGCAAGTTTCTAAAGCACGGTTGAATATCTGTGATAGATCAATATGCGTATAATTAGAACGGTTAAAATTAGGCCTAAATTAAAATTAAAATAATAATACAATTCAAGAAAATTTACAAATACATATAATCTGTAACTGCTAGATTATACCTGTTCAAATCATTTTATCAAAACTAATAGCATTCTTATTCTCCAATCGCGATAAACACAAATTCAGTATAAATTTAGACGAAAAAATGGTAATCTAATTAATTACACAGATTGAAATCCCCATTACACCATTAATTCTTGGTTAATTTATTTCAATGTATAAAATAACTTCCGATAATTGGAGGGAGATTATTTTCAACGGCGATTATATTCTCGTGGATATTTTACCCGCGATTACGCTGATATGAATGCCCCTTTAGCCCATCTCGTTTTTGACATTTATGACGCATACATTAGCCTTAGTGGGGCTGGCCGACATCCGCATAATTTGATCAAATTAAGGGCAGAAGCCGCACGGAGGCACTGCACGAATGCTACATAAAAAAACGTCACAGTCATCGCTCTTGTCGGAAAATGTTCCATAAAAATGCACGGCCTATAATCTGTCTCGATCATTCAAATTTTATAACACACATCCCATGAAGCTGACGTATGGTCACTCCGGAATACGAGATTAACGGCTTCAGATCCAAGCCCCCATTACACGCCCTATTTAGAACACATTTCAGAATTAAGATTGAAAATTCAAACATCGAGAGGACCATTAGAAATTCGTAAGCTAATTTCTCAGGTCTCTCGTTCGAGTGATTTAGTCAATGAGCATAAAATATCGGATAGTTCAGAATAGCCTGGAACGACGATTTAGAGAGGATAATATTGAGCAGATTAGAGAATTAACTACTGCTTGAATGGTGTTTATCACTCGTTTATCTCCTCGTAGAAAACATTATAACAGTGCTTCATTGTAGTTTTTCTACCACTGTGTCAATGTGGTGTCAACACAGTGGAAAAGATGGGCTAGCCTAGTAGGTGCTAGGGTTTGTGAATCCAACTGAGGTTGTAGAGTGACGGTTCGGTCCCAGCATAACCGCAAACATTTGACCGGTTCGAACAGCCTTCATTTTCAGAATTTTTCTTTTGGCAAAATGCGTCTTTTAAGAGACTATGGTAAACTAAAATGCATTATAAATCCATCAGAACTTGGTTAGTTGTTCGAAAACTATGACTCGAATTAATCGAGTATTTAAAAAATGTTCATGTCTTTGTAATCTTCCAGAGGAAAAAAAGGTTTGTCTACCCTCCCTAATTACCCTTTCTTTCTATCTTAAAAAGGTGTCTAGTACTCGCTTTCCCGTTTGATTATCCTTTATTAAAATTTGATTAAATAGTGATGGAATATTTCTATATAAAATCAATCGTCCTTTATTTTCTCGAGTGACGCTGGTACAGTCTACACATAAGTTGTCCAATTCAAACGTTAGCGATTGGATAAGTCAGCGCTTTAAATTGCCGACACTATTTAACTTACCAAGGCTGTAAACATTGCAAACACCGAGCACTAACTCTGGTTACAGTTTACAGGTTTTGTTTAGTGCCCTGACTTGTAGCTTGTAGCTTGTAGCCGCGTCCGCCCAAGACAAGCAGTACAAGTCCTGGCTACAAGCACGACACCTGTAGCATTGTAGCTTGCCACCACGCGCCTACCACAATAATTAACATACTCCTAGGTGTAACAAGGTTATGTTAAAACTGGTACACACTTTACAACCTAGGATAGATATGTGGAGGTCTTCATTTTAAATGGAAGGTGTCGTTCTGGGTCCCCGCTACCAAATGAAAAATTTGATTATTGGATGGTTAGACGAATATGTGTGTTTAGAAAGAATAACACTTTTATCATTCTAAGTTTGTTTGGATTGCTCAGATTGTGGGGTAAGGCCTGAAAATAATTCTTCTGAGAATACCTTAAGGGTAGGTCGTCATATTACGCTCCATTAGGTTTAGCCTGTTTTTCAACATAATTTTCTAATAATAAAATGTAATCACGGTTAATTTAAAACTAAATATCAATCACTGCAAGATCAGTGAGATTTTAAAGTAGCTTCATACGATTTAGCAAAAAAAAAATATATTTAATACATATAATGCAATTGTTTAAAATTACATACTAATAAGCAATAGCCAAAACAGTCTACTAATTTTGAAATAACGATTTTAGCTCAATACGTTAACAATTCATGAATCGTGAATCGGTGCAAGTAATGGAACCTACACCATGGTATCACTTCAATTAACGATAACTCAGCGAGGGACAGAATTCCGCTTCTTTAACGAGAGTTTCCTAACGAACGAACTCAGAAGCAATGAGAATAACGAACTGAGACACAATCAGTCCCATTTGTCTTATAAATGGCCCCAGAGCAGAGTAAATCAATGTACCTCTGAATTACCCAAGTGATGTTGGCGACCGTATTTAAATATCGCCACCGTGACAAACAGGCGAGTGTTTTGGGATAATTTCACCATCAATATTTGGCATTGGAGGCTAACATGATTTTGATTACTGCTGTAGCGCCGCTCGCAAGGCCGTGCTGGATTTATGCGTCTGGTCCAGTAATTTGGGATCCACTTTACCCAGTGATTACGACATGTTTTAAAGCTGTAAAATTTGTAAATTCGCGCGTAGCTTTCGTAAGTGGACTAGTGTGGTAACCGTGTAGTGTTTAGGTTAATGTTGCATTATTGATTTGGCCAAAATGTATTATTATATTTAAATATACAAAAGTGTTGTGAGTGGGAGTAAATGGTGATTTTAATCGCGTTATTGACGCTATAAGTGTATGGTACCAGTAGCCAAACACAAGTAGTTTAAAACAGGCTGTGTGATGTGTTGTCAATTCTATCTTTCAAATGAAATAAAATAAAATGAGCAAAAACGTTCATTGTTGGTAATAATGTAAATTTAGCTCTTTAATTTAAATTACTGCTTCTTTATCTTCACTGTGAAGGCGAGCTAACTCACCTGAATTACACGTAAGACTAATTTGTACGCTATATGACTTATTCGGTTCCTCATTAAAATCCGGGAACAAAAAACCCTCATTTTCGTTTAAAGATATAGGCCCTACATAAAGTGTAGACCTTTTACCTTGTACAGATTAAACACGATATAATTAACTGTCTGGGTAACACATTGACTAAAGTGTTTGTCATCAAAGCTAAAATGTTGTCAGTTCAAAGCTAAGAAAGATTGATTCAGGGCAACGTTTTGCCAACAAGATTTTACTTTTTTGACAAATATGAATCTTAATGAGTAGATTATTGTGCAATTCTCCTAGTATAAAGTATAGAAATTGGAGCAGTAACAACAAAGCTTGTATTTTTAAAAGCAAAATAAAATATTTTTTTTCGAATAAAATGTTACGGGAAAATGATCTTTTACTACAAAATTGTAGATTTTAAAATTATTCTAGAAGATATATAGATAATTAAGGCCTGAAATGTAGTTAACGAATTTTGAAAAGTGTTGCTCCAGTAAATTGTGTATTAAAAAAAATTTTAAATGGATTATGTTTTTAACGATTTTAAAATATGTGTATTTTTATTGATGAATGGTGATTCTAACTCTGTAAATACCTTCATAAACTGCCAGTTACAGATTCAACCATAACTTACTTCGCAAAAACTTAAGTGCCTTTAATAAAGACCTTCCCGATTAAAAGGGATGATAATAATTCAATTTGTGGGTAATTCCGATCATGATTTCATAAATTTATCGGAGTGCCCGAAGTAATAAAAACTCTGGTACCTAACTATAAGATTATTGAGTTATATGCAGGAGTTTTGTGCCCCGGAGAAACTAACTAAATTAGTGGAATTAAGTCATTAAGTCGGTATTTACATAACACCATCATAAACAGTACAAGTATTTATCAAGATATTCCGGACATTATGTAGATCAAAGGTATGAGGCAATGCTTCAGGGCTCCCTTATCTTCGGGTTAAGGATGATTTAAGATTGGTTTCGGCCATCAAGCAATCAAAATAAGCGTTTGGTTTTGGAGGCTATGAAACAGCCATCCTAAGTATTAAATGGCTAGTG